TAGGTATTTTCACACTGTCACTCATTGCTAAACTTCAGACTTCGAGGATCGCTATATATTTTCAATCTCTTAGTCCTTAATCCGTCGTCATAATTCATTATTACGATGTAGCCATGGTTAAACTGCTACTTCTCATTAAAATATCTTGCATATCTTGTAGTGTAATATTCCATATTTCTTTAGAGGTAGGATAATCGTTAGTATCTCTGCAATAGTCTTGTGTGATCAGACAAATAATATGCGATTTATATAAGGTTTCAAAAATAAGGTTTGCATATTTCCTACCTCTCTTCAGGTTCTCCGCAAAGCTGCCTACAAGTTGATCAATGCTGAGGTTTCTGCGCCAATTGTCATCGACGAGACCAACCTCCGTGATTATGTAGGACAGCCCATGTGGACCTCTGACCGTCTCTATTCAACAACCACTCCACCGGGCATCGCTATGGGCCTTGCATGGACAGCTATGGGTGGCTCTATCCTTTACATTGAATGCACCAACCGGTCACCACGTTTCTCTTCAACTAACTCAAAGACTTCCGATTCTGACAAAAAGCCAGAAGACTCCCACAAGATAACAGGTTAGACAAATAAATTTATAAAAATGAGTTTTAGCTTATAACAGCCAAAATTTCATACCCTTTTTGCATTTGCAAATGTATTCACTTCAACAGACTCAAAAATGGGTTAAAATCAAATCATTAAGTGCTCCGCAAGATCGAGTTTACTTAAGCATATTCGTACATTTTCACAATACAAAGAAAAAAAGCCTATTTCCTATCTTTGAAAACTAGCCTACCTATACGTTTACCACTCAGCTTGAATTTATTCTCTCTTACTACTTAAAGTCCGGACGCAATGCGATGTTTCGCAATGGCGTTATTGATATTATGAATTCCTATTTTGCAAACAACTCTCCTTTCAGAGCAACACTAATCTCAGAACTGTAAGCATAATTAATTATTTGTCATTATGGTATAAATAATTTGGTAGGGGTACACAAACAATTCTCGACCAAAAGAGGATTTGTAGGACCATGATTTATCTCAATACTCAATAATTGTTTTATCATGAACTCAGTTAATCCATGATAAAGTTTTGTTTGTATACGTTGTATGCTCTTACTTGCTAGCCGCACGTTGTGATTTTGATTGCCCTATGAGCCACCAGATAGATCAGCATGTTGTTGGTCAACACCATTATGTTATTTTTACCAGATTGTTTTCCCTTTGAGAACGAGTTTCTCTGAGAACGTATAAAATCCACTAAAATATATCCATTTTGTGGTTGTTTTCCCTTTGCATGGATTCCGATCTCATTTCCTCGATTTTGTCGTAATACTTTAAAACTTTTTCGATTGTTTATATTTCTTTTTCCTTTGATGTGTTTTATCTTATTCTTTATTTATTAGGATTTACATTTCCTGCATTTTATTTTGCAGCATAGCTATACTCATCATGAACCCTTTGAGCTTTTGGTCAGCGAGCCGATAGAGGGTAAACTCCAAAAGGCAACGTCAATATAATAGCCATGTTCCTAACTCCTTTTGTCTGGGAAACCAAGTCCCATTGGTCACTTTGTTGGCCAGGTCACAGGTTTGATGTTTATCTCCATAGACCCACTAAATAATCAGTTTTATGTGTTTACCAGTTGCAACTAACTGAAGTATGAGGCAAAATCACTGACTACTTTTGCCTGTTGCAAGGCCCAGGAGGCTCGCTACTGCTCCTTCGGCTTTTTATTTAGTCTGAAGATGAGATGTTAAATGGCATCTACAGGAAGTCAAAACTAGTAGTTTTAAGACATACTTTATCGGAATATGTTTATGCTATCGGGTGTAATGGCAAATATATTCAGCTCTAGATGTAAATATTGCCTTGAAAGTCACATCGGATTCGTGGCCCATCAATACACGATAACTGTGTAATTGAATAAGTTGGTTTAGAATACTGTTGTAGGTACCACGAGACCTACGTGAG